ATTCTTTTTTGAAGAGGAGGTTGCAAATCAGTGGCGTCTCGTTGACTTCGTTCTGCTATTCCTAGTACTTTTCTTATTATCTTTTGTATTTCGCTGAGAATAAATCACTTGACAGCTGTTAAATCGGTCGCCATCTTGAACAGTAATGCCAACTTAAAGTTCTACACATCGAAAAAAAACATCCATTATTATGCGCCGGAGTTCGACGATCACGCTTTGGGGGATTACCATACTTATATCTATTGAGAAGTTATCTTCATTGCATTCGTCGCCAGATAGGGAATTATTTCAGTCATTTTGAATATTATCTCCATCTGACAATCCTTGTTCGGATTCAGTGTCGTGGTCTGTGTGATCGCATTAGACAGATTGCTATCTGAGTCTTCGAAATCTCCAGATACTCTTGGACCTTCTAGATCACTATCGTTCATAAGAATGGCTTCAAGCTCTTTATCAGTTAAAAATTTGGGCTCCATATTTGATCAGATCTAACGTAACTGGTGTCAGTGTTGACCCCCAACTCGAAGTATTACCACAACTGTGCACCCTACAGAAGCGAAGTGTAAGGGATTTTTATAAAATTTATTGCGCTTGCGCGGTCAGCCTTGACCCCAGTATAGTTAAGGGTTAATTTAGCGATGCGATTCACTTTCCTCACGCATTAAAAAAATGCAGAAAACGTATTTTCATAACAGTGAAACTACAACCAATCAGGAAACACACATCATGTTTATTGACCTCCATAAAGCACATCATACTGTCGCCGTCAACAGATTGTTTCGAGTATTACAAGAAACCAACATTAACTTTACCCTTAAAGCTCTAAAAAACCTGTATGAAGAACCCACATCTCGAATAAAGATAGGTAAACGGAAAATCAATATATATGAGACACTGGTAAAAAGCAGTCTAGTATACTGCCCAGAAACGTGGAGTATCACGGAGGAAAATCGAAGGAGACTTGAAGCGGTAGAAATAGAAGCCTTTACAAGAACACTGAGAATTTCTAGAAGCGACAGGTTCCGCAATGAAGAAATTAAACAACGAATAGGATAGATAGAAGTACCGATTTTGAAAGAAAACAACTAATATGGTACGGCCACGTTCAAAGAATGGATGATGATGTAGAAAACGTGGTAGGCCCAAAAGGACATGAAAAATAAAATAAAATCAATATTATTGATCGCTCCATATCTGCATAACGATATAACGAATTACCCTTTATCTCAAACCCCCTTAAGTTTTTCGCAGTTGTTTTGAAACACCCTGTAGTTTGTGCCTACAACTGCCTCTATTCTTAGAACGTAAACAGCCGCTAAATTGTGCGTAAAATTAGCGTATTTCGCTTAATACTTTGTTATTACCGGACAATTTCTAATAAGTTTGTTTATTCGGATCGATAGTGGCAAATCGCCGTAATCGTGCATCTGTCAAGATGTGTGTTAGACTTTTAAGCACGAGATTCATTCGCTTATGACGCGTCACACACGAAAGCGGAAACTTCCACAACTTATAAATGTTTCCGCATATGATGTTAAATTATAGACGTAAAGAAAGGTGAATCTACACGCTTTTAAAAATAAAAATGTATTAAATGAATTAAAGAAGATTAATATCAAATTTTACAACAAAGAGATATGAATATAACATGGATTTGATTTTTTTTGGGATTATGCGTGTTATTATGAACCTCTTTTTAAATAATATCTGGTATAAATTTGGTAGTTTTGAAATGATTACATTTAAGACATGACATTATTGATATTTTGTAGTAATAAAACATACGTGCTTGGCAATGAAATATTCGCCATTCAATACACAATAATCCAAACTCTTCGATTTTCATATTAAAAAAATCATTTATTTCTAAATGGCACGTCAATATACTATTATTGTGCCACATTCAATATTTAAAAAACCACCATTTTTGCCAGATATGTCAAATACCGTAATAGTCATCGGGAAATTTTGTCTTCAAAGAGAGACACATATTTAGAACCAACTCCAATGCAGCATTCTGCAAATCGCTCTCCTGATCTTCGGTATACTTTTTTTCGTCGGTCTCTACCAAAAAGGCCTATTCTTGTCTTGTAAGAAAACAGACCAGAGCCCCATTCGTCCAATGTCCAATTCAGATGATCCCGTGTTTTTGGGGTCAGGTTATTGTCCTTCAGTGTTCTTCTCACTGTCGGTGACAATTTCTTATTATTGTTGACACAGTAAGTTATCACGAGCCTTGCAAATGATAAGTGAATTTGGCCCAATCATAAAAAGGGCTGTGCTACATAAAATACAAGAGATTTGTTACTTTGAATATCGAAAACACCCAGTAGTTCTTATTTCTACCAAATATCAACAGTCTCATTTCTGAAATCAAAATCAAATCAAATCAAAAATTTTCCGTTCAATTCAAATAATTCAAAAACCTAAACTAAACTAAATTCAATTTAACAATAAAACGAAATACAAAGTTTAAAGTTTAAAAAAATCATAGTTTTTTGCTTCATACTGACGCACTCTGTTTAATTCTAAACAATTTTAGAGTGTGCGATTTTTATGCGCATACCATGTGGTGACGCTTGTGACACCAGAGTGGCAAACTCCTATTTTACGTAGTCGTTGGGCACAATATTATATATTATATTATATTATGATTAAAATAACTGGTAATTGTCAACGCTCAACTATTTAATAAATAATTTTTAAAATTTCAAAAAGAGGTGGCGTCTAGTCCAGAACTCCTTTGTAATTTTGGATCGAAATTGATGAATATTTTAATCACAGTGATCGAAAGCGTGAATATGCATCAAACATGCAAATGGGTGTCGCTCTGTCTTGCGAAACAATGACGCTGTTTTTTTGGGCACCATTTATTTATGTTTCAATTAGGCATTCGGTATTCAAAGTACATTTGAAAAAAACACCGGGTCATCTTCTGTTAACTGTTCCCATGGTAATTCGGGATTTTTAGCGAGACCGGGTGTTTGAACTTTCTGCGGGGAATAAAACCCAGACATTAAAATGTTTGACCATACGGGGGTTGTCAAAAATCACATTAATCTTATGTGTAATTTAATTTCAGATAGAAATAGGTTGAGTTTATTTATTTTAACAATGATAATTCAGAAGGGTAAACAAAACTATTTCTAGACTCAAAAAAAAAAGAAAACAAGAAAGAATGTAGAAATAAATTTTATTTAGTACGAACCAAACACTCCTAATTACTTGATTCCTAAATGAGTTGGGTGACCAAGCAAAAATAGCGATGTTAAAAAAGTAACTGTTAGAATTTCTTTTGCAAAAGAGATATTGGTGAGTTGCTTAAAGGATAATTTTTCCAACAGTTTTGGACAGTCTACTCTGTTATTAACAATAAGAATTGATTCATACGATACGCCTATTAGATTGTGATTATATCTAAAGTTCATGAAAAAAATAAACTTTTTTTGAATGCTTTCAATTCTGTTTCCATACTTTTGATATTCGGCAGTCCATATCACACTAGAGTTATGAAAGTTGCATCGAATATTTGTTTCTAAGTATTAATATTCCGGTGTGTAATATATATTTATATACATCATATAAAGTTACGCGAGATTCGATGTAAATCCTAATTTGAAAATGCAGTTTCAAAATCAGCAGTAGGGTTACTAGGGTTACACATTTTTGTGTCTTGAATCTGTTTTCCTAAATTGGAAATTAGAAGGACGAACGAAGAAACGAACACAGTTAATTCATATTATAAACATGTAAGTAGGATCATGAACAACAACAAAGAAGTAGCAAGTTTCAACCATTGATTTGTGGAATGAAAAGTTGTATTTAATGAACTATCGATATGAATTATTTATGCACTTTTTACGAGACGTTTAAATATTGCTTTTGCATTGTTTTAAATTTTAATGAAATTAATTTGAACGTTTCATTACGTAAAAGTAGATCCGATAATAGAATAAACGATTGTTATTTTTGAAGCATGTGATGTTTCATTTGACCACAACATTCGCTTTAAACGCTAAATGCTTTAATTGAAATGTTTTAGCGAACAATTTCTGAGGTAATTTCTGTAAAAAACCCTTTTCAATTTACAAAAAGCCCATTTAAAACATAACAATGGACTTGTAGTTCGGCAGTTAAACAGCTACGGAGTTTTCGAATAATTTTCAATAGCATTCCTTTATTTTTGACAAAATATAAAAGCGTCACTTACAAATTTTGATCAAATCCGAAAACTATGATATATTTTCAAAGGTGGGTTCATTCTTCTTCTTCCATTTTAATTTGACAAGAAAACATGAAATATTTAGATTTTTGAATAGATATTAAATTTTTTGAGCTGTATACGAGACTTCCAAAAAAATATTAATTCCAGGCAGCTCAAAAAAGTATGTCTTATTCTATTGTGGTTTTAATAAAAAAAAACCTCAGACTCTATAAACAAAATTCTCCATATGGTAGATACGCTCTCTCTCTTCTTCCATTGTTAATAATGTGATAAATTCTGGCCTTTTAAAAATTGCTAACGAGCAGCTGTCTGTCTGTGGCCATGGTATTTATGCTCGAGGTAACCAAACGTATGGTATAATATTATTTATTTACTATTTTATTTTTATTTATTCATTTATATTACATTCTGTCTTATACATACAAGTCCCATTTATACTATAATTAAGTCACAATGTCCAATTTTACTATTAATAAATATAACAAAAACGATTTTATTCTATCTCCTAGTTCATTTAAAAAACAAATGGGGCGTAAATTAATGACCGGACGATATGTGGTCATTAATTTTTTTTCCTAGCATTTCTCGTCCCTTCTTATCACGCTCCTCTAATTCCTGTTGAGCCGTTAATGTTAATTTTCTAAGCTTAGTTGGCTTCAACGCCATCTTCTCTTCGAAGTGTCCACTGTTACTGCTCTGGCATGTATAATTTGAAGTTTCAAATTATTAATTACTATGAATAATATACAGGGTGTCTGAATATTTGTTTTTCCAGAGTTTTGTACGATAGTAGAGGAAAACAACTACAAGAACTACGTCGAATCGATTGATACGAAGCTCACCCCCATCCAGAAGTTCTATACTGGCGTAAACGTGCTCGTCACAGGATCCACCGGATTCCTGGGCAAGACCCTCGTGGAGAAGCTGCTGAGGTCGTGTCCTACGGTATCGAGCCTCTACCTGGTCATAAGAAGCAAAAAGGGCAAATGCATGGAAGAAAGGTTGGACGAGTTGTTCGACGATGTCCTCTTCAGCAGACTCAAGAAAGAATGTCCGAAATTTAGGCACAAGGTCATCGGCATCGAAGGCGACTGCGCCTTGCCTGAGTTGGGGTTGGACATGCAGGATAAAAGACTGCTCGTAGATGAGGTGCGTCCCACTATCGAATTACTTGTCGATTCCAGTTTTCTCAAATCATTTTAAAAACCATGGCGAAAAAAACTAGCTTGAAAACTGCCATTTTATTATTCAGATTTAAAATATCATTTTAATATACACAAAATTTTTTATGTTTGCTTTCTTTTTGTTACTTTCTTCTGCCTATTCCAATGAGAGAAGCGGTTATCAGTATTCGCCACAATTAACTTATTCTTTCGCACGTGTTAGTTGCTACAATGCAAAAGTACAAATATAAATATAAAAATAAGTGTAACATTTTAAAACAGACGTGTAATATATATTCGTCCTTTCTCGCGTTACTTTTGGCAAATAGTCAAATTTCCAATTTTTGTGTACCGGAAAAGTTTTAAGCAAGCAACGTAAATCCCTAATTTAAATTTAAAATCTAAATGTTCCGCGTTATTATATATTCACGACTCACTAAATAACGATAGGTTAATGGATTTTTGTTTACGATTGAATATTAAGGAAAAAATTGAGTGGGCAGGTATAGGGAAACCCATCTCGACAAAAGGGATAGAGGGACTATAAGGGAACGCTATAAAGTAGTTGGATACAGGGTGTTCGAATTAAAACGTTATAGAAGAAATAGTTTGTCACGTTGGCAAAACATTCGGAAAGCTTCCATTTACAGTTACAGTGTTATATAAACATTCATTGGAGATATCTTAATATTCAAAAATATATAGGGAGTTTTCTAATCGAATGTCAATAATTCGAGAGGCGATTTTCGGGTACATTTTTAAAAGAAATTTTTGTATGAACTTATGTCTTAACTTTAGGTCGTAAAGTTTTGGAAAATATATTATTTTATATCTTTTAGATATTTTAATGAAATTTTTCATACAAGAGGCATTATTTAGTGTACTACATTTTTTTTTAAATACACCTGTAGGGGGAGTACGGAATTTCACCTGTCTAGTTTGGCAGATATTGACGGTACGCCACTGCTTCAGCTTCTCTTTGAGAATGTGTCTTACTCCCAGTATTACATTTAAGTGCTCAATGAAACTTGACTAACTAATGATATAAACAATGCAGAACTACAGATTTTTAACTAGAATATATACCGCAAAGATAGATCTGAGTGAAGTTTTACCTGCTTCGAAAATCATTGAACATTTATTTATTGAAATCAATCAGAACAGCAACAAAATTATACTGGCTACAGCCTACTTCCCACCGAGGTGTTCCTTTGAGAAACATGCAGAATTTGGAGAGAACCTGGAAAGACTGGTTGAAGAATAACCCAGTCATAAGTTGTGAGTTCTAGGCGATTTCAACCTGCCCAACAGTTGGTGGTCCAAGGACGAATTATCATCAGTTGCAATCCCTCTGGCGGGAAGCACGCATAGCGAGATCGAATCCACTAATCTACTATCTTACCTATGCTCCTCTTCCAGAAAAACACAGTCAGGAACGTTAACAACAACCCTCTGGACCTAGTGTTCTCACAAGATGGCGGAATTTTAATAGTAGAGGCGGATAGTGCTAATAGACTTTTATCACGCACCACTCTTCTTTTGCCTGCAATGTGATTTAGTACATTTTATAGATATTTTGAATCAATGAACTTGGGTGCAAAAAATTGCGAAACATTTTAATTCAGGGAACTTTTGGAATGGTTAACATCGTACCTTACTAAGAGAGTGCAGATTGTGCGTGTCCAGAGCTTCCAATCTACCGAAATTAAAGTGCCTTTTGGTGTTCCGCAGGGATCACACCTGAGACTCCTACTTTTCAATATCAACGTGAATGATGTTGTCTCATGTTAACATCTTGCATTTTTCCTATTATTTGCTGACGACCAAAAATTCTACATGAAAGTCCAAAATGCTGTATAAAACTCCGATTTACATCACCTATCGCTATGTTGCGATTTTAATGGAATGGACTGAATATTAATAAATGAAACTAACGAACTTCAACCGGAGCAGAAACCCCATTCATTTCCAGAGTATTCCGTCTTTTAGATTTCTGTTCTGCTACCCCCTGCGTCTACACCTGGATTACTGTTACCGTATAAGGTCCACCGACAAGCCGTAAAAAGAGTACTGCAGTATATAGCATTTAAGGAGCACCAAGGACTTCCAAAGAATCCCACTATTTTTTATAATCGACTGCAGTCAAATTCTCATGGACCTGAGGTGTTATGTAAGATTGGGGCTTATCGTTCCCCCCCCCTCCCCCTCACCGCAGCAAGAGCAGAATAAATCACTCCTTCTAGGTAGAGTTCCATTGTACTAACTATCGGCAGACTTCTTTTCTTACTAGATCAGCCGCACCAGCAAATCCCCTTTCGGACGAACTTGACTACTGGACTGCCTCCAGAGTGCAAAAATATTTAAGAACTAAAAGAGTGTCAGTGAAACTGCATAGCATTGTATAATAACGTGTTGATGTCTTGCCACTGTTATATGTGTTCTTACTGTTCTATCGACTTCTGTATTAATATTAATATTTTGGGAATCCAATATTTGTCATACTAGGGTTGGGTCTTTATCTGTCTGTTTTATTTTTGTTTTGTTTTTTTTATTTTATTTTGTTTTTTACTATTTTGTTTATGTGAATCTTATTTTATATTGGGCGGTTGGCCCGTTGATAAATAAATAAATAAAATGAAATTTAATTTTTTAATTTTTTTCAATCCGATATAGGGTTTTCGTTTGACAAAATGCAGAGCAAAAATCAAGAAATTAATTTTTTTTTAGAAATGATCGGATTGTAAGAATAATTTTTATTTTATGAGAAATCAGTGGCGTAACATCAATGTCTGTCAAAAGGGACTGGTAAAATTTCGTACCTCCGCCACTGGCGTATTTGAAAAAACATGTGGTCCTCTAAATAATGCCTCTTGATACATATTGCATATGTGCGAAATTTCATTAAAATATTTAGAATGTTATTAGTTTAGGACATATTTACATATAAAGTTTTGTTTTAAAATGGACCCAAAAATCTTCTCCTTAAATATAGACATTCAATTATAAAACACCCTGTAGATGGATACATGGTAGTTTGAAAATGCCAATATTGTGAAAGCCAAAAACATTAAGATTGTAAAAATTTGGTTTTATTTAACAATAATGTTCGTCTATTTCTTCAGTTTGACAACCTGTATTAACAATTAGAAATAATAATAATAATAATAAGAATAATAATATTTATTGCCAAAAATTCCTTTTACATAAAAAATATTTTTATAGTAAAGGTCCTATAGGGGGAAAATACTGCCCGTACATAGGTTGGCCCTAACATAACTTACATCAACAACTACTTACTATAACTTACAACTACTTAATATTGGTGAGAAAAAAACTTTTAGATATTTTGAATTTTATTTTTACATTTTATTTATTAGATTCTAACACTTCTAATGTTTCCTTTAAATTTTTTTAAGTACTTTTTTGTCAACATTCAGATTTTTTAATTTGTATTTGTTTTTTTTACTGTGTTAGCCACGTGAACATCCCATTTTATATTATAGTCGTAAGTTATTCCTATATATTTACTACTGGTAGCTCTTTTCAGACTCACACCATTAATCTTGATTTCAATATCCTGTGGAACAGAGTCTCTATAGTTTCCAAAAGAGACAAAAACAGACTATTTTGAGTGCCAGTTTATTTTGATAGAGCCAGTAGTATATAATATCCAGAGTTGATGACATGGCTGCTGAAAGTTCGGGCCATGATTTTGCTTTCACACCACACTTACTAAACAGGAATTTTTCTACAAAGGAAACTATTTGATTCACATAACGATTTCTACAACCGTCGATTTTATTTTATATATATATATATTTTTAAAGATTTTGGTAACAGTTATTGTCTTACAATCTCTCGTATTGAGTATAAATAAACACTCTAACCCTAATAAATAAAAGCCCTTAGAAATGGTGTATTGAAACAGAGGATACCAATGGAACGATCCCATCAACCTTATTCGTTACTTAATGGTGCACATTTAATGTGGCGTATATCCTTATACAAATTCATTAATGCTCGGTTAACAAACACTTTGAATTCAATTGCGATGTGTTAAATACTATCACCCGAAATGGGCGCGCATAGCGGTACGTCCAGCCTTCAAGTCTAAAGCGGCAGCATTTCGAAAGCACAACAAAGGTTTGTTACAGATATCTGTAATATTCCACGTCGCAGCAACAGTTCGCTTCGATGAGAAGCTGAAAACTGCTGCAGCGATCAACGTCAGAAGCGTCAGGGATCTCTTGAAGCTGTCGAAAGAGATGGTTAACCTAAAGGCGTTCATGTACGTGTCGACCCTGTACGCAAACTGTCCGGAACTTACGATAGAGGAAAAAATCTACCAGTCTCCCATAGACGGTGACAAACTTATACTAATGGCTGAAAATTTACCGGACAATGTCCTAAATGACGTCACCAATGCGTAAGTTTAGCGAGTGTCTAAAATTTAAATTTAAATTAAAAAAAATCTTTTGATAATTTTTTAAAGAAACGATTTTTACAGATGCATTTAAAACATTAACTTGAACGTTTATCACATAAATGGCATTTATCTAGAAAGATATAATTCATTTTTTCGTCTTCTATTAGTTTTATTTTACTATTTTATTGTGTCTTTTTTGTATTTTATCAATGACTTTATTAAAATGATCTTAGAGTTTTAAGAATTGAATGGAAATTTTTAACAAATGTGTCCTCATTTGCAGAGTAGCTGTTCCGCACATACATTTTGAAATAGATATACGAAGTGTGTCCAAGAAGTAAGGTGACTTTTAAGTTTTATCAAAAAGTATTTATTTATTTATCAAAATTAATGTTGTCCCCTTCAAAGATATAATACACTTGTGAAAGCGTTTTTTCTAAGCACTTTCTGGAATAGTCATGACTTCTTCCAGCAATTGTTTCGTTATCTCCTCAGTCGTTTCAAACGTTTCATGAGTTTCTTAAGTTTTGGGAACAGGAAAAAGACGCAGCGCGCCATATCCGGTGAATATGGTGGCTGAGGCATGATTGTGGTGTTGTTTTTGGGCAAAAAGTTAGACACAAGCATTGATGAGTGAGCAAGTGCATTAAAGTGATTCAAAAAATACTGCTTTTCTTAAACGGCTAATAAGTTTATACTCTTTATTGAACGTAGGACCTTGTGGTAAGAACTCTTGATGTACTACGTCACGATAATCAAAGAAATCACTGGTGATTCTGGGTTCTTCCATTTTGAAGACTGGGCTTTAGTGACGGTGAAGTAGTGACCATATGCGTTGTTAACATGTGTTTTGCAGCACTGTATTATTCCGTTTTTGACAGTAGAAAATTGTCGAACACACAAACCACGTCTAACGCTTCTGTCTCACAAAGTAAACTTGTAACGTAACAAAAAAATATATCGAAGATCGAATCTACATAGCCCTCCCAATTACAAAAGTCATCTTACTTTTGGAACACACCTCGTATATTTTTATTTTAATTTGAAATACCTCGCCAAAAAAGGAAAATGATTTTTAGATTTTTTTTAAACGTGACACGCCAAATTCACAATTGTTTTGAATAGACACCGACAAAATTTTAATAGAAAATATAATAAAATATAACTAAAATAAAATATAAAAATAATAAACGCTTATAAATAGAAACACCTAAAATTTCATTGGAAAAAATTAAAAAATCTATTTCATACGAGGAAGAATTTAAAGAAAAAAAAACAATAACATATTATTTAAGTTTTATTTATTTATATTTTATTCAATTTTGTTATTTAGCATTTAAGTATATTTTATTTCTGGTTGCTTTTTTCTATTTAACTTTAGTTTTGGATGCATCTTTGATTTAAATACATAAATAAATAAAGCTTGAAGTTTGCAATTAAATTTAATATGATACATCTTTTTCTGGTCGACAACAACCATAAGATCAAAACCGTCTCAGTTATCACATTTATGAGTAGGCACAGGGTTATCATTTACTTACAGAGTTGTTAAAGGCGATAGATAAAATTTTTTTATACAAAAGTTGCACGATTTTTTCTTTGTTGTCTTCTGAACATACCAAAAAAATGTAAAAGAGCGCCGCAAGTATATAAAAAAATAATAGTTTTTTAAATTGAAACACCCCGTATATTTCTAATTAACGTGCCTTAATTAAAGTCCTTTTAACACGATAAAAAATATATGGCTTGTCGGTATTTAGTTTAGTAGAATTTAATAAAATATGTTTATTTTTTGGTCTATCGTAATACCTATATTTTATTCTTTAAGTAACTCTATAAGAATGGGTCAAGTAGAATTTAATCAGGACTATTCGGCGGACATCTAAGAGTGTTATGCCTTCCTACCCAAAACTCATCTAATACATATTTATAAATGGAATCTGGATGAAAGTAAAACAAACCTTTTTCTTATAAAATTTACCTTCATAATAAAGCAACATCCAACCACAGTTCTTGTTTTTCTCTTAACACTTTTAAATCGACAAAGAATATTCTTTCTCGTATTCCTTGAACGCCTAAGATGGAAAACGCTGGTGATATGCACGTCGAACTTGCCATACATTTTCGTTTTTTAAATGAATTTAAATTTTAATGTTATCTTGCGCTTCTAGAATTTACAATTCGTCGTCGTAACACTATTCATCTCTATTAGAGAGTCATCAAAACTTGTACACAATGTATTGTTTTTCAAGACAGTAATGATGTCAATTATTAAATTCTATTTTTGAATAATAAACTCTAGTTATTTCAAAAAAGGCTAAACCAAAACCGACAAACTATATATTTTCCAAAAACGTCTTGAATACGACGTTTTTTTTAATTTCTAATTTTAATTAAATTTGTATAAAAAGATTTAGCCTTTCCCCTGTAATAAGCTCTGTAGGTGGGTGTCAAAATATAAATAAGAACCTTGTACATCAAATAGCCACTTTTCCATGGTATATCTGTGTATAACACTAGAACATGTCGCCGTATCGATCGGAAAGCAGCGGTATGACGTCACGATCATTTAGTGTCGTTTAAAAGGAATAGCCAGGTGTCACCACTTGAATTACTTATTGCAACTTAAATTTTGAGTTTTGTTATTTGGTACGCGTTATTTCCATACATAAACAAATGTATTAAAGAAATAAGAAAAAAATGTTCAAGTTCTTTATTCAATTTGGATAGCTTCAAATACGCAACTATTCTATCCGATATTACTGGCCTTTTAATGGTTTACATCACTAGGTGTAATATGGCATTATGTTCTCATTTTCAGACTGCTAGGCAAATACCCCAATACTTATACGTTCACCAAACAAATTTCCGAAAACGTGATAAGTAAAACCGGACAAAATCTGCCCGTGGGAATTTTTAGACCAGCTATCGGTACGCAGGCAACCCCCATTGCTAGAATCCATTGTTAATTATACTATTTTCCAGTTGTGTCCACCTACAAAGAGCCAATTGAGGCGTGGATCAGCAATCTCTATGGACCGACCGGAGTTTGCGCCGGAGCCGGCACAGGGGTACTGAGGACGCTGCATTGCGATCCTCACGCTAACGCGAACCTAGTTCCAGTTGATATGTGCGTCAATTCTCTGATCGCGAGTGCCTGGGAGGTGGGAGATATGTATCAGAAAGGTTGGTAACACCACCAAGCGGTGCCATAATATAAGGACCTTATATTATATTTCATCTTCAGCACTTCAGCAAAAGTCTTCGTTCGAAATCCCAGTGTATAACTACGAATCAAGCAACGACAATCCTATCGACTGGGGTACGTTCATGTATCTATCGCAAAAGTCTGGATTGAAAACCCCCACCAGCAAAGCCATATGGTACTATTTCTTCGGCCTCTACAAAAACTACTACCACTACTTGGTGGCCACTTTTCTCTTCCACACCATGCCCGCCATCGTAGCGGACGTGGTGATGTTCTGCATGGGAAAGACGCCTCAGATGTCCAAAGTCTACAAGAAGATCCACAAGTTCTCGGACGTGATCTCGTATTTTGCGACGAGGAGCTGGAAGATCCAGTCGGCGAGGGTGCACCAGCTGATAAGCAAAATGTCGGGCGAGGATCAGGACTTGTTTTTCTGCGACCTGAGGAAGCTGGACTGGAACGAGTTCTATTTGTCCTATCTCAGAGGTGTGAGAGTCTACCTTTTGAAGGACCCAATGGACACTCTGCCTCAGGCGAGAAAGAGATGGTCGCGGTAAGATATCGAAGCCCAAAGCGAAATTGATTTTATAACCTTAAATTTTCGATTCAGATTGTACGCAGCTCACCAAGTGACTAAAGCTTTGGTGTTTCTTCTTCTGTTGAGGCTCGCGTGGATGTTACTCAGAATGATGGTATAGTGGTTCGCTCGGTGGTTTGTACAGGGTTCAAGTTGGATGGTGTGTAGGGTATTTTTTGTGAATGTGATATTTAGCCGAGGATGTTTTTGTGCTATAGTCGAGGCTCAATATTTATTGTAAGTTTTGTTACAAATGTATATTTTAACAATAAATTGTTATTTTACAAATGTTTTATTTTATATAGACTCAGTTACACGATGGTTAGTTATTTTTTATAAAGAACCAAGAACGACTGGTCATAATGGGGTTTGATTTCTTTAAATTAATTTTAAATTAAATTAAATTATTTCTCATTTTTTCTGCCTACATCCACTGGTACTTTGTAAAATCATTGCATTAATTTATGCTTCTTAGAAATAAATGGTGATATATTTTTACTATTTTTAAAGGTAAATCTTATTGATACATTGATACAATATTAATTATGTTAATAATAAGTAAGGATATATATAATCAATTACTTTACTTTGCCCCAAGATTTTTATTATAATTATTTTCCACTTCACATGGTTAACACATTTTTTCTACTCCCGTCTGTAAAATACCTAATTGCACACTGATCTAGCGTGCGGGAAGCGTCACTTTACCACGTCAGTTTCGTTTCCCACGAATCCGAGCCACTTCGGGAATTTCCGGAATTTTACGGCACGGATTCACCACGCTTTGAATCTTGTCAATTCTGACAGTCATGTCAGTGAACGTATTCGTGTTGTTTTGCGAAAATGTACTCAAAAACTTACGGTCGTAGAAAAAGTATGCGTGCAACACGTTCGGTAAACTGTTTTAAGTCACTCGTTTATTAAACACTCGCTCCGCTCGTGTCAAATAAACTCGTGAGTCAAATGCCGTTTACCGCACTTGATGCATAATATACTATTATACAACTGCTCTGGTACTAAACTCAAATTGAGTTTCAATTACATCAATTACTGTTGCGTCTAACTTTGTTTTTTAATTCGGTCCATCTTATTTATATTGGACTAAAATAGCAGTGATAAGGTGGTAAGGAAGGGGTATATTTCCTTTTATGACCTCGTCTAGTTGACTTGCTTCAAAAAATAACAATTATCTTCAAAGTAAGGATCATGTGGACTAATGCAATACCTCTTTCTTGCTGCTGATGGTACTTTTTTAGCCAAATTTGCCTGCTCTCAAGCCACAGTGTAAAATGGATATTCTTTTTCCTCTAAATGAAGTATATTCAAAATGCAGTTCGATCGGGAATTGTGTGGAAATAATATACAATGAGTGCCATATTCGCTTTTTTATACAGCTCTACAAGCTTCAGATTTAAGATTGACGAAAAAAATCCAATACCGTTATATTAACAGCTGTCGAAATATGATATTGTTTAGAGGTTTTTAAGAGACGAGAAAGATAGAGTGTGAACTGAACTTTCATTTTAGTTATGGTCGCCATATTGGTTTTTTGAATTTTCAGTTCATTGGCGCACAAAAGATTTAATCATACTTCTTAAAGTTACGTCTTAATTATTTGATAAGTCGGCGACTAACACATGAAAAAACGCATAAACGCATTGAATTTTCAATGGAACATGAATGTAAAGGACAACAAGCCAACAAGTCCCAAAAGTTTTCCCAAGTTCGATAAAAATTGAAAAAGAAAATCGCGACAAGTAATGTAATGTAAAATCTAATTACACAGATTTGCAAAATGGCGCCCATCAGCATAAGCCTTCTATAATATCGAGAAGATCCCAGGGGATCATCTTTCGTCAAACTGCTCGCTTAAGACGTTCCTGACGGAATACATTTATGTTTTTAATAAAAGAAAACGTACTACTTATTGGAATGCTACTTTCATACTTTAAATTATTAAAAAAAAAGGTGACAAATAAATCATGGCCTACTTATAAAATAATTAAAACCTCACTTTGCGAGGTGTGATAATATTTTTAGTGCACTTGAGAGACATCGTCAAACTCGAAATTTTACGCTCTTTCCAAAAATCGGAAAAACCACTATGGCGACCATAAGAAAAATAAAATGTTATATATGTTATGCACTCCATCTTACCCGTCTTAAAGAAGTGCCACATTTTGACAACTGTCAATTGAACTTTTTTGGATTTACACCTATATGCCCCAAACCAATTGACCGATGGTGGGTCTGAAGCCAGTTATCAAATGCACTAAGTTTCCTCTAAAACTTTCCCCATTTAACCGTTGCAGTAGGTATAATAGGAGTGGAGATCCCTGTATATAGAAGCGAATCTGCGACGCATTGTATAATCAGTTTTTCTACGTGTAACTGACGAATTTGAATTAAATATTTTTCTTTCCATTGATTGGTTTATCGAGGGTAAAGGGCCAGCGTACTGGACTATACTATTAATTATATGCTGGTGTCAATATGGTATATTCGGTAACAAAAAATATTTTTTTGGGTAAGTAAAGATTTTGTTTTATTGATAAATAATAATTTATCTAGTTATCATATAAATAAATAAATATAGATATGATTATATAAATAAATAATTTTATTTATATAATCATATTATTATTATAATAAATAATTTTATTTATATCATATGTTTGTACGTATTATTTACAACTAAAAAATAACTCAGTATTTTGGTATTTTTACGTTAGCCATTGATTTAGCTAGCACAAACATTTGAAAACAAAAGTTAAATTTTCCCCTTTTCATGAAACAAAAAATCTAGCGAGATGAATATGTTTCGTGAAATACATGTGTATCTTTTAGTAAAAATAATCTTGAAACATGCATAGTGCTATTTTCTGAACAGTTTCCGTAGGCTATCCTACCATTTTTTTAGCAGTTGCATTATTAAAAATTGAATTCGATAGAAATTTCGGTAAAGTAATCAATCCATTGTCCCATTCGCATAATTGCGTGAGAGAAAAACAACGATCCCCATTAATTTTCCTATTTTCAAATTTGACTCTGATTAGATCGATTAAATGATTAAATGTTTCCTTAGATATGAATTCTGAAGTTTTATTAAATCTGTATTGGTAGCATTACGTTTTATTCGTATATCTGGAGTATTATATCTATAAAAAAAGTAGAATCATCTTTTTGGTATTTAAAAAATACCTAATATCGCCAACAAGTGACCTAATGTGGGCAGCTTTAAATTGAACAAGAATTTATACGGGTGTTATTTTAAACCTCGAATATCTGAAAAATTTAAATATAAGGTAAATTAAAAACTTAACGTCATCAATCAATAACATTCTAATAGTAGTTTCTTAAGAAAGTAACCTTTATTTTAACCAAGGACTCCCATAATGTCCATATATACAGGGTGTTACATTTAAAATAACAAAGTTGATGTCGAGGGGCATACTTTTGAGACACCCTGTATATTTTAAATCTTCAGGAGAGTCCAAGAAACTTTTGTACGAAACTTTTTTCGTGTCTCCTGTGGGTTTCCAGATCGTATAGTGGCTCGTTTTATTTAGCACATTATCGAAGAATATATACGGAGTCAAGGAAAAGTCAATATATTGTATTTTTTAAAACATTCTGTACAAGAGTTTGAGCTGCCTATACCGGCCATTGATTCACTATCCCGCAGGAAATAGAATCAACAGAAACCAAGAAATAAAAAAACAAAAAATCCATCTATTCAAAAACATCGGCAGGAAACGCGAAAGAAAAACGTATTTGATTGAGGTGAGCAAATTGACATTTAAACAAAACATATGGGTTCAATTAAGCGGATGAACAACGCGGCATTAAAAGCTAATTATTACCAATTGTAATATCGGAGGGTTCGAAACTTGACGGTGTTGACGCCTCCTCCGTTTCATCACTAGAATATCAGAAAATAATTTATCCGGTAAGCGGCATTGTTCCACCAGTCTGAGAACCGTCGAATCATCTCCGTTACCGCGAAAAATAAACGAAAGTCCCGTATCAAATATTTGCTTTAAATTACGTCCGTATATTTTCCCGGGCAACGATTTTTATGGTTCTTGCCGGAACCGGCCATTCGTTGGGCCATAGGCGGCACCTGCAGAACCCCCTTTCATATCATAATTAAATTAGAATAAAAAATGTTCAGATTTTCCCAGTTTTCAATGATTTATGACTGCTGTTTCGGCAAGAGCGTGCCTTTATCAAATACCTTGGTATAAAAACTGTGAAAATCTGAACATTTTTTGTTAAAATTTAACTGTCTTAAATGCATTTTCATCAAGTAAAAGCGACCTCAGTCCAACCCCTTTGATTTACCCAATATATGTCTGGAATACACTGCCTTACCTACGTCACTGCGATACCAAAAAACCGTCTTTACAGATGGGATTTGGGGTTTATAACCGAGCACAAACGAACATTAAAATCAGTGCTAATCGTAAAGATAAGATATAGGTTAAAATCACGAGAGCTGCGATGAATTTCGTCGAGAAAATGAAGTCTTGGCTGGGATTACGTACTTCGATTCAGAGCAGGAATACGCAGAATAACGATGCTGCGAAAGTGAAACAGCCCGCGGCAAAATCGAGGCAGAAAAGGGGCGTGGTCGACGTGCCGAAATCCGATGTCGGTCCTGACGGAAGAAGAAATTCTCCTTTTTAGCTGCGAGTTACTTCAAAAGAGTGAGTCAGTTTAAAAAATCAAATTAAGCCGAACTAACTTCTAAAAACTCATTTTTTATTCGCCAATCTTCCGTCAAGTTCGACCATCATTTTTTTTTGGGGATTTAAACCTTCCATTTAGTACCTTTTGGTTCCGCTAACTAAAGTAAATCACAGCAAACTAACAGTTGTAAGTAAGTTTTGATTGAGTTTGATTGATTTAAGTTCTACCAAAGAAATTAAGAAATCCATACTTGCCTGAAGCATTTTTTGTTTTTTTAATTTTTTACTTAAATCTTCTCTTTAGTTCCTTTTCGTTTTACTAATCAAAAGAAAGAGTTCCGGTGTCTGTTCTGACTTACGAAAGAATTCTTTTTACCTGCGAAATACTCCAAAATAGTGAGCCAGTTAGACAAATCAAATTAAACACAAATAATTAATCCTCCTCCCATCGTCATTTTTTTGGGACTTGCAACTTCTATTTAGTGCCTTTTGGTTCTACTAACTAAACGAAATATCAGCAAACAATTGTAAGTAAGTTTTGAGTGCCAAACTTTCTTTAAGTTCCAACCAATCTAAGTAAAGCAAAGTTATATTTTT